CAGGTCTCCAGTTTCAAATCTAATCTCCATCACAGATTTACCAGATTGTTTATTGTCAAGCTTTTACTTCCTTTCAACTCTTCCTTGCAAGATGAAGTATGAAATCATCATCACTTTGATCACTAAAAAAAAGTTTAATAACCAATATTTAAAGTACAGCTAGCCACAATAGGCCTCACAACAGATGAGCACAGGTATCCCATGAGCCAAAGAGACATTTTCCCACTTGTTTATCCGATTTATTTATTTAGAGGCTTACAAATAAAAATAAATTAAAAAGGAGATACGGTATGACATATAAGATATGATAACAAGCAACTGATATAAAAAACCAAACTAAGCAAGGAGGCTCAACTACTCCCTTTTTCCAAAGCTTGGGAAAACAACCAAGTTTTCATCAGTTTGAGGAAAGTCACATGGGTGGGAGCAGTAGGAAACTCTGTTGGGTCACAAACAGGACCTCCAACTCCCAGCTCCTCAAATCTGTCCCAATAGGATACTATGGTCAATGATATCAAAAGCCACTGTGCAATCAAGGAACCCCAGGATGGATGCCCCACCATCTAGGCTCCGCCACAGATAATCCACAAGTGGAACCAATGCTGTTTATGTACTGGATGCCAGGCTAAAACCTGACTAAAACATATCAAGATAATCCTCCCCAGGTCCTTTGGAGTTGCAGAATGTAAGGAAGATGACCCTGGCAGAAATATGCAAGAAGTGTTATCTTGGCAAAAGGGGTTGAAACACATTTGAATTTCTAAGAAACAATACCAAATTTGGAAATGGCACAGGCAGACAGCTCCCTAATTCACAGAAGGATAGGAATCTGAGGAAAGTATAGCTATTATAGCCAATCTCCATAAGAGTAGATTTAGCCTTCCTGTGGAGGTGATTTCCTGCTCTGGTCTGCATAGCAGGGCTGACAGGAGCTGAAACCTGATTACCTTACCACCTTCTTCAAAAATGGAGGTATTGAAGACTGGATGGAAATTATCCAAGATGGTTGGCTCCAGTCATGACCTCCTTAAGGAGGTAGTACACCATGATCTCCTTGAAGACTGAGGGAACTAATCCATCATGTAGAAAAGCAGACAACACAGCATGGGCCCAACCATGCCCATTAACCATCCAGAGTCGCTTTGATAGTGAGATGAGCGGCATATAAATGTAATAAATAAAATAATAAAATGAAATGAAATAATGACATTAACAGGTTTGGCTCTAACCAAAAGGTGGCCAAGTTCATAACTGGAGAATCATGTCCACTTCCTTAGGAGTTACAGAATCAAATTCCCTTCACTTTATTCAAAATTATAATATTATTACATGTTGCTATACTGAAAGCTGAAGGAACTGCAAGAAAACTTCCAGTTTAACAAAACCAACCAGCATGTGCTTTTTCAATTCTTTCCAAGAGTAATGACAGGAATAGCAAAATGTTTCAAATCTGAAACACCTCAAATTCAAAATGCCTTGCTTTGAACTCAGAACAGCTTTTTCAGACTTGAAACTCACAATTTCAATCATCTTGGAAGTGTTTTGAGCTAGAAATAGCTCTGGAAACCTTTCCACAATTATCAAAACAGCCTGCTTCAAATTTGAAACAACTGTTTCAAACTTGAACCAGGCTATTTCAAAATTGTAGCTACTTAAAATTCAAACCATTTTGCCCAGCCCTGTTTAAGATGCTACTGCCTCTCGTCTGACATTGGACACTTGAGGGGAATGTACAGTATAGCCTTTATTGTCATTGTATATCATATATACAATGAAATTGGTTAGAATGCTAGAAACATTCACTATGACCCTTATGTCTTTGAGATTATGCAAAATCCTGCAGCAAAAAACTGTGGGAGCTTTATCACTCTCTACCCAATGCATCTCATCAAATCTGTCCAGCCTTCACATACACACATGTACAGCCATCATTCTTTTCTCCCAACTCCCTTGTGAATTATGCATGCTCCCTAAGTTTCTGAAGAGTCCACTGGAGCTGTGCAGCCATTAAGTTTAAATAATATAAATAATGTATAAAGCTTATGGATTATATATAATTATAATGTATAAGTATTATGTATTATTTATAATTGTATGTTGTGATTATAATCTAATTAATAATAAATAATATGTTTTTCAGAGTTAAAGGAAACAACAACTTATTCTGTCCCTGAGCAAGGTGTATATTTTTCATTATCAGCATTTCCAATCAATCCTCACAGGGCAGTTCAAAAGTGATCCACGGCCATCTTCATTTCTGACCATCTTCAAACCCAGAGAACACATTTAATCATTTGGTGCTTATCATCCAGCTGACTGACAGCAGACTGCAAAAACTACAATCCAATCTCTGTCCTAGCCTTTGACTACTGCCAGTTGTGGAGTAACAAAACCCAATCAGGCAGAAATCTAAAGAAAGGTGGTCTACTATACTGAAGGACTGAGAGGTGCTGTAATTGTGCAAGGCCCAAAGTATTTCTTCAATCATTTTCAAGGGATCGGTTGCTATGGAGATGGGGCAGGTTAATGCTAAACAGTGCAGAAGAAACAGACCGATGCCAGGAACAGGGCATGGGACCTTATAGGGGGCACAGGGAGGGGGGGGGAGAGAGACAGAGACAGAGAGACAGAGAGGCTGGTCTGATCCTGTACTCCAAGGAAGAATGAGAAACAATCCTGCCCACCCCCCATGAGAAAATCCACAAGACTGCAGAACTGTGGGACTTCAAAGGAAAACCACTCTGCAGTGATTTACTAGAGCATGGAGTCAAAATTAAAGTGACTGATCCCTCAGACAGATGTTATTTAATTATCTAGTTATTTATTAAATTTATTGACTCCCCATCTTACTAAAGAGTAACCAGTTAATCAGTGACGTCCAGTGCAGTGGTGGGTTCCAGATCCTGTCGCAACTGGTACGCTGCAACGGGGCCGGGCATCGACCACGTGCACGGACGCTATGCACGCATGGGCACCCACTGCCCCGCGACACTCCAGCTGCTCGGCGGAGCACTGCGCAGGCACCGTACAATGCGTGTGTGTGCACAAATGGCCCAGTTGGCTCAAATACAGGTAAGGAACATGGGCGGGCGGGCAGGCCCTCCACAGAACCATTCCGGTATAGTGGCTGCTGCTCCCAGCAGGCACCTATACCAGGGCATGCCCATCACTGGTGCAGTGAAAACATCCCAAAATCATGTAAAATGCTGCTGTGGAAAAGTTCTACTTAGATATCCACATTACCTAATTCACTCTCTACATTCAATTCCCAAATCCATCATGGCATTCTGGTAAGGCAGAACTCAGCTATAGATCTGTGTCATTACCCCTTCATGGCCCAAAGTGGCTACCATTGCTTGCTTCTTTCTTTCTTTCTTTCTTTCTTTCTTTCTTTCTTTCTTTCTTTCTTTCTTTCTTTCTTTCTTTC